CAGCTGAGAAAGGGTTACACTCAGCTCATACACTAACCAAGAGATGCGCAGTCGGTCAAAAACACTCAAAAATGAATGACACGGGAACCAGTTGATAGAGTCCTTCTTCTACCATCATCCTAAAAGGAAATATGATGTCATGTATGAACCCCTGATTCGGTCAGCAAAAGTCGAACAAACTCGCACTTGGTTTTAACCTGTCTACCTGAGCACGACTTCATGTATAACCCGTTGCAAAACTATCATGTTTTGCCTGCCTAGTTGATGCCTCCCCGTAGGTTAGTAGGTGCGGATCACTTGATTACACCCTACCAGAGGAGCGTTTCAATTTGATCTCCCACAGTCTTCCTTTTAAATTTGTAGAAAGGACTCAACTGTAATCAAAAGGTATAAATATCCCATGAGAATGAAAAAGGCTGCATTTTTCTGGCGGGGTTAAATTTTCTTCTGGAACCTAATCATGTGCATGTTGTTTACAAGGTGTGGTCTGATTTGTTGGCAACCAGTATGGGAAGTGGGTTACTGTGGTCTGAAGACCAATTGCGAAGTGCGGTCAGCTATTCCAACAGTCTCATCGTTGCGACACTATCTGTTGTGTAACAGATTCTGGGCTTGTCATGGTTACCGTGTGGTAGAATTCTTTATTCACTAAAATCAGTTCCTCCAGAGAGAACAACGCAAGGCGTCAGGGAGAATCAAAACACTACTCACAGCTCATTAAGCCAAAAAGGTTCTTAAAAATCTCTCCCTGTTTTCTACAATGGGTACAGCTGACCAGAGTAAAACTGGTAGCCGGTAAGAAGATAAATTGAGCCTTCGAAACAAGTATCTCACAGCTGACCAGAGTAAAAACTGGTACCGGTAAGAAGATAAATTGAGCCTTCGAAACAAGTATCTCATCGAATTGGCCACCCAGACATTACCTCAAGCCCCATGTGGATGAGGAAGCTGTTGACCCAACAAATATCTCATCTGATCATAAAGGAAACTACTCACAAGGTTGCTGAAAACTCTTCGACAGCACACGACCGGTTTCGCCCTTCTTGGGCTCGTCAGATAGGCACAGTCCCTGAGTTTCCGTCAACCTTATGATCTACTTGAACCCAAATCGGACTGTTTTCGAGAAATACATATCATAAACGAGAGATTCAATTGAGTCTCCCTTGACAACCAAACTGATTTGGAAATAAGTGTATTTCTCTAAAACAGCGCAATTTTGGTTCAAGTAGATCATAAGGTTGACAAAACTCGGGGACTGTGCCTATCTGATGAGCCCCAAGAAGGGCGAAACCGGTCGTGAGCTGTCAAAGAGTTTTCAGCAACCTTGTGAGTGGTTTCCTTTATGAAAATATACTGCGATATCTCGAATATCGTGCCAATTGAATAATGAGGCGGCCTGTGTGCAGCACATTCAGCTGGAGGAACTCATCTGGTCCATAAAGACGGCCTAGATTGTATAGACCACTTTACAACTGATTTTCCAAATAAGCAGCCCTATGTTACGTCATGCCCTGATGATCAGTGTCCTGCCTCCAGTTTGTAAGAAGCCTCTTTTGTACTTGTTCACTCCCAACGGGATCGGTTACAATTGTTCTTTCGGTTTCACCTCAGTACTGGGCAACTGTACATGAGACCAGTTTGAACCAAACATGGTGCGGCAGGTTGCTTTTAGCTCAACACTTCGTCCTTATCCTTTCGAACATTCATCACTAGAAAAAATCAATTTTGAAATATGACATCTAGAATTGACGTCAACTCATCGCTTGTTGCACCTTTCATGTAACTCTAAGTTATCCAAGTAAACATGCCCACCTATGAGAGCTTGCATTGGAAACAGTGAAAATGTTAAAGGTAGTCATCTGATAAACTAACGGTTGGCTGGTCTAATTACTCCCTCCTTATGTTTTACAGACCACGTTAACCTGCTCAAATTTAACAGCAAAGGTTGCATACGGTCAGACAAAATTTACTGCCACAGCACCCAAAACGTACGATTCTTGTTAGCAGCAACCGGCAGATTGAAATCACCTTCCCGTGTGATAGAAAACGGTTTCTGTATCTTTAACATGTTGTTGGTCATGCTATATTGCACAAAAAGGCATACTTGATGCCCCTTTCTCGTCCGGTTAATCACCCCATGAGTGACCTATTACAGTCGAAAAAAAAATGAAAACAGGCCATTAGAAACATAAGAAATGTCGGCAGAAAATGCCAGTTTCGTTTGGGTTGAACTTACATAGACCCGAATATATGGTCACTCCGGGGCACATTTACCACAGGTAGCCTCGATATGCATACTGCTGCACCGCATCTACGTCAGGCCACTGCAGGATTCATTAGCCACTTGAAACAGCCCCAACGATTCTCAGGCATTAGGATAGTAAGCAGGCGTAGGTACACCCTCTCTGACATACACACAAGTCACAGCATAGTCGCATCGCTTTATGGAAGATGGCGGTAAACGAAAACACTGCTCATATTCTAAGCATGTAAAACAAAGTCCGGGGGTCGCTAGGACGCAGAAAAAGAACACAATGTGACTAACTAGAACTCTGGAGAAAGCTGACATCCTGTCAAAACAGCCCTTCTAGAAGGGACTTTAAATCCACAAGTGCTTGCGTCATGGGCACGAAGTTCATTTATTAGGTGACCTTATTACACGCGTATATATAGTGTCATTCATTTAGATACTGGACGTGAGTTTCTCTCTTCACTATAAATTGTCTCCTGTGAATTCACCTCATAGATTTTTAACTACCGCCCCAATGACTTAATGCGAACTACAAGGTTTCATATTACCGAATGATATTCAGATTGGCCTAAGTTGCTAGTGGCGAGTAGATAAAAAGGTGTTTAGCACAAATACTTACCCAACCATGTAACCATTTTGTATTCTTCAAAATGCGTTGACTTTCCTGTGCTCCATAAAAATAATTGAAGTTTACGATGAAAACTAAGGCAGTGTCATGTGAAAATTGTGTTGTCCGTAGACTGATACGTGTTCTGTCATAGTTATTTGGAAGGGAGGAGACTTTTTGATAGGGAATGTTGATTGATCAAATAACTGAACAAATCTTTCAATGAGAGAAGAGATTTTCAGTTAACATATGGACTCAGACGGCAATAGTGAAATTTCTTCAGTCCTGTCAACACTGGCTTAGAAGCTCATAGCAAGTTTGGAATATCACCTAGGGATTACAAACCACGTCAAAGGCACTTCATGTGATAAACGTATTTGTACGGGGTGTATTGGTAATAACACATGGGTGAGCTGTACCAATCGTACCATAAGATGACCACAAAGAAAAGAATGTGGCTCACCAATCTGGGATAATCTCATTTCGTACACTTGAACGTGTGATCCCATGCTTTCTTAGGTGAGTCGTTATTATCGGTTGTGAAAGAATCACCAACCTTGACCTTTGTAGCAGTGATTTCAGCGTCGTACAGTACAAACCATGGCATGTACAGATTGCTTAAAACCTGATAACGAATTACAAAATAGGGATTTTGAACTAATAATACACCTGTAAACTGTAAACTCCACCAGAGAGTGTACCCGGAGTATACTGTTTTACGCTCGAGTGTTGCACAAAGAACTCGCTGATTGTCATATTCGTGGAACCATGGGTTTAAAAAACTGCACTTCGGGGTTGTTCCTGGATGTATGTAGAAATGGAACAGGTGATCTTTCGACTACTGACTGGAGCGGCACCAGCTAAAATAATGTATCCGTTAGTTACTGAGACAATATTCCTGCTGCCTTGGGAACTGCCCGCCCCCACACTATTCAAGCTCACACCTGGTCAGGCCGGTTAAACAGTTCGGTACTCCTAACAAACCTCCCTCCCGCCCATTGGCTTTGTTGACCGGATTCCTTTTGACATTCTTATACCATAAAAATATGTCTTGCCTTGGGTCAGTTTTGCCAGCCATTACAAATTAAGAACAATGAAAGTCCCCCCCTCTTTGGATTACATACACATGCGGTCCTGAGTTAGCCTCCTGAAGTGCTTCTACGGAAAGAATTGCATGGTCCTCCAGTCTGTGATAGTCCAATGTTATCACCAATACTACTTGGTATCAGTCGGTCTGTAAAAACCGAACCGAATTGCTTCATCTCCACCAGGAAGGCTAAAATCAATCTCATGAAACGAGAAGAAACGATACATCTACCCGAATACCGCCCGTGAGGCTGCTTCCCTGCCTACATATGCCATCTACACTTGAGAACCCCCAAGTTACTTGCTTTTTGACCTCGGCGTTCACAATGACTTGTAAGCAACTCAAGTAGATACCTCAGTTGAGGATGTACATTATGATGAGTTGCACCAGAAATTCCAGTTTGAAATGGTCTGATATTTTGCTAAAATCTCGACCGATCGAGGAAACTTTTTCGGGTGATGGCTGCAACGTTGAAAATCCCAATTACACAAGCAGCTCACTTAAAACCGACCTCACCTACAACCAATGGATGACATATCAAACAATTTCAATCGATTTATATTAGATATACTTTATTCGGTGAATTAAAGCGATAGCTTATTTTGACTAGGAGTTAAACAGTACTTTAATGATAAAGCCTGAAACTTTGATAAAATCTCATACACGGTATCATCAAACTACATCCTACCAAGTGAAGCAAAAATCCTAATCATTCTAACCTGTTGAACGTTCTTGTTTTGTTCCCACGGTGCGTTATGTTGCTTTAAGTATCTGACAACGCTCATTTCACACCAATATTATCTATCATTTAATAGATATCTTAGACTGTTCTTCAGTCGTTTTTTTCACAGTGCGTATTTTATCAATTTATTTTCCTAACCGCTGAATCTAACCAAAATAGATGCATATTTCAGCCTTGTCTCTCACATACACCATTTCATTCCTCCCTACCCCTGCACACCAACCCGAAACCCATCTCATGGTAGGTCATGTCTGCTTCAGTGTGACTCCCCCCATAACTTTTCGAACTCAAAGCTTGGACCGCCGTTTTACAGCACGGGTTCGGTATAAGTTGACTGAAACGACACAAACTCATCAAAGTATTCTCGAACATTTATCCCCACAAGATGAACCACATCACACATCAATTTCCGTACACGTAGACTCACCGGTTCGCACCTATGTAGATTCAAAATTCAAACAAAATTATATTTACCGTACAACCTTAGCTAGATTACCAGTTGCGTTGAAGCATCTCCGTTCAAGATCACACAGTGCTCATGCTTTGCAGACAATGTTTTCTCAGACGACAAATGACAACGAAACAGTCCTGAAAGAGTACAAACTCTCAAGAGAAGTAACAATACCTCTTGCAAGTCATAGCGCTCAGCTCGGTGCTGAAACGCATCCAAGAGTATCCAAGAAATCATTTCAATTATCACCGAGTAATCAGTCCATCAGAATACCCATAAGTCATTTTTGGAAAGATGAGGACAGTTCGACCCAAGACGAAGGATTTACAGTTCACATTTCCGATAAATCGTCCTCGCTACAACGCGAGAGGCTTTATGACCAGAGGCAATTTCCTGGCTCGCCACCACCTTTGCCAACCTGGTTTACTTCGTTACTCATCCCAAGGTCATATCACTCTTTTCCGAGAACACGCAACGCACTTGTTACTTATCCTAAACCGGGTGACTTGGAGGTAAAGCCTTATTTCAAGGACTTGGGTAGACTGCGTCTTCTGAAAGGTAAGTTGCGTGATAAGTGTTTCCGCAATGAGTTCTGCAATCCAGCACCAATGTTTACCATGATTCGTTGCACAGTTTGTTCGCTGAGCAGCTCACCTTTTTCTGCAGTTATCATATGCAAGCTACTCGTTTACTCGGCTGAATACAGCACCTCCTAAGCTAGAAAAAAAATTATATTTTCATCTATATTATCACAATTGCGTTGGTGTCATTTTACGAAACCACAACAGTCAGCTGACTGGTCAATTCCAGTGTAGCTTCATCTGATTGGGTGATCATCAGTCACGTGGCTGGCGATTTTGTTAAGTCGCTTTACAAACTGATAGCAATTTGGTGAGGTGCACATTTTTTACCAAAGTAAACACAATGGTAGCTAATCTGGGTGATTAAATATTATGAAACACGGCTGCATATGACTTTCTGAGGTATCTACTCCATCCTACTTGCTATATCGTGGCTCAGAACAACATTGAGGTGACCTGTGGTGTAGTCTACGCAAACTGACGAATCACCTACGTGCTACGTTACTGTCATTACATAGGAATCCGTGGGTAATTCATACCTCTTCTTCAAAGCGTCTAAGGTAGGGTGTTTTACCTAAAGGTGAAATGAGAATACTCGAACAAGCCCGTAAGATATTTATCGAACCGCGAACGAATTAGATCTACAGAGCCTGATCTGTTTTGTTTGCTATTTTGAATAATCGCACTAAACCACACCATCGCACCTGGCCAAAATCATGCTCCCTTGGAGGGAGCGCTGAGACAAACTCTAGTTTATAGGTGTGTGAAAGTCGGGCTTGATCGGCTGACAGTGTACTCTTGTGACAGAGAGCCAAATCAGAGATACGGCTGGTAGAAAAATGATTTTTCGGAAATTTTGCATAAAAACAACCCAGCAACAAAAGCAGGGAGGAAGCTGACTTTTCAAAGCACGCCAAAATTCCCTTCACTGTTTAGCACATCCGCTGTCTACGGTAGCCAGATCAAAATGCCCACCCAATCATCATCATCATCATCCACGTCCACATTTACTCCTTTCTTTACAATAAGGCTTTCAAATGAATCATGGTTGTATGGCACTGAAACATCGGTGTTGAACACTGATGTTATGCTGTCGATGATGATGCTGATGCCTGAATGCTCAAGCGAGATGAATCTAGCGCGTGCCAAGTGCGTTGACTGGTAGCATGCCCACCCAGCAGTCCAAGTTTCTGGCGTTCAACTCTTCGTCAGAGTCATCTTCTACTATTCAGCTCTAATAAAAACGAAGCTCGAGTTGGTTGTTCATTTTTTTAGTATAAACCGGTCCATATGAATGAAAACTTGTAGAAAGTTACCTGAATAGACAAGCAGTTCAAAACAGCTACAGATCAGAATAGACAACAAGTTTTGATGTAAGATGCCGAACAACCAAATGGCTACCCAATTTGAAGTATGGACTTTCTTGCAATTTTGCGCAAGAAACAGACAGATGTAATAAAAAACAGTGGATGACGCTTATTGTTGACTCATTGGACTAGTTAAGGGAGTCTATAGTCTTTATTTCAGTTGTGAGGGCAACAACCAAACCAGAGACCACGGTGCGGCAGGCAATTTTGATCCGACATTGTGTCGATGAGAAAACTTCATTTTCTGTAGAGTATCCGTGTATTGCCCGAGGGAGAGCCTTTTTCAGCACTTCGAACCTAGTTTCGACCTTTGCAACTATAAAAACGGCGAATAACTTGTCTTTAAATTCAGCCTAGACTCCTTCGATCTGAAAACGGATGGTCCTGATATGTAAATCTGATGCATTGAAGGCAATTGCTTGGATGCACAAGCGCCATTGAAGGCCATGTCTGACAATGTCTCTGGCCATTGATGCTGCCCGTCTCGGGATCCCCATCCAGGAAGACGGCAGTGACCAGCGCAGCTTAGTTTGCTGGTAATGGCCTTCGTACTTCGCTGCCAAGTCATTGTTTGACCGCCTCTGGCTCTCTTCCACCCTTCACATGGTTGGGCGAAAAGAGCTTTATTTGATTACAGTTGTCTGATTACAACGGAGCTAATCCTCGGCGTCCAGCAGGTTACGGAGATGTCTGTGAAAAACCATTGTTACTACAGTTGACACGTCGGGCAATATAACATCAAATTAATGCGGTTAGTTTGAGTGCTACCTAGTTCTCATCGAACTCCGAAGAATTAGGCGTTTCAGTTTGTTTGTAATAGCATTGTACCCTCGTTCAGATAAACGGAAACTTCACGGGTGAACTAAACTAGGGACTCGTGGGTCTGTGGAAGTGGGCGAGTGTAATACCCTTAAATGGACTAGCTACCAGTTGGAACTTTTGCACTTCAACACTGGTTTCGAGGGAGCCACAATTCTCAAAGCAACGATAATGAAGGACATCTCCAAACCCTCCTTAGCCGGTGTGCTTTATCGAATATACTTACTTGCCAATTTTAAGCACCAAAATCTATTAGGACAATATCCTATTCATAAGGGCGACGCACCGTTCATTTGGTTACGTCCTGAACACCAAGCTAATCAAGACTAATGTCTAGTTCCTGACTGACATTCTACACTTATCTACCGGTATGAACTCTAAAGGTTGCCATCTACGATAGCTGCCAGTCCTCCACTCACTTTGAGGAAGCAGTTGCTTCATCTACCACACGTTATTGCATACTTGGCTATTTTTATTACCGAAAGTCCAAAAGCAGTTGTTTGTCGGGGCCCTCTCAATCGGCCGCGTGATCATCGTTTTCCGAAAAATTTGCCCTCCGACAGCTCCTCGAGCTACGTACATGAACCAATAGGGCCCGATAACAGCCACAAGTTGATGATGTGGGGGTGTAGTGATACGTTAAAAGCCAATGGGCCTCTTCACAAACCAGAAGCCACAAAAGTTAGTCAATAAATGATTCAAACATAGCCAGAGCATCTCAGCAGGCCTTCACATTGGTCCACAAGGACTAGAACAATGGATCACTTCTTCAGCGAAATGCACCCATCTGCATACCAATTTGGCTTTGACGGGAGACTCATCTGGAACCTAAATGAATCTCTCGTTTACAATGTTTTGAGGAACAGAATGTGCTGGACTATCCTGTTTCATGTTTCAGTTGGCACGATATTCGAGATATCGCGATAAATTGCATAGACGTAATACATCAATAAAGTTTCTGGGAACTCATTGATGGCCGAATACCGGTTTCATCCTTCTTGGGGCTCATCAGGTTGGTGCAGTCCCATAGGTTCCGTCAACCTTGTGTTTTACTCGAACCCAAACACTATAAACGAGAGATTCAGCTGGGTTCCAGATGAGTCTTTCGTAAAAACCACATTGGTACCCAAATTAGCGCATTTCGCTAAGTTCATGTAATTCGGTTTCAAGTAGAACGGAAACTCGGGGAATGCGCCTACCTGATGAGTCCCAAGAAGGGCGAAACTGGTCGTGGGTTGTCGAAAAGTTTTCAGAAATCTTATGAGTAGCGTACTAAACCACTTTGCTTTGAGTGCCCCTAACAACGACCTACCCCTTTTTCTATGGTCTACACTGTTAAATAATTGGTGAGAGAGGGCATGTAACTTCCTCCAAACAAGGATGCCTATCCTTCATCCGAATTGAAAGACTCGTTTCGCACACCCCACGATAGAACACATTGAAGAACCAGAAAAACACTTCACCCTTATCACCTGCCTATCCTAGGAGTTCAAGGACACTAAGCAGGAAAATTGCTCACTCTTATCACCTGATCAGTGCACTTTTACTCTATCAGCTGATTGAATAGGGTTGCGTAAGAGCCTACTTTGTTTTCGTTGAGTTGCACTGATTTAGTTTTTATGGGACTGTCATTTTCTCCGAGGTTCTACAACACCGAAGACAATAATCACGCTGTTCCATTGAGATGAGGCAGCGGTCAAACTCGTCACGGTATAATTTTTTTTCATTCGTTGGTTTAGTATTTGTCTGGTGTACCCGACATCTTCTCCGTCTAAAATCCAATCCAGTTACTCTCCGTAATAATCATTATAACCAAACGTTTCTAGGCACAAAACGGCTTAAGCTGCAACGCGCCTCTTATTTCTGTCATTCATCCTAAACCTGAAGTAGTCTCGTGTGCTAAAAGTCGCTCGGGTCTCTTCACAAACCAGAGATCAGCAAAGTAAGTCATTAAATGCTGCAAGCACTCATACAAATTTTCAGGCATGATTGACTCTTCTTGTCAAGGTTGAACGGCAGCTACAGAATGTACTAAATTATGATGGTTTCGAAAGACCATATTGCCGATAGATAAACTTAACACAATTGGCTTTCACATCTATTGTGATAATCAGGCCATGTACAATGGTGAGCATTCAGAATAGTATGTTCACGCATCCGTGAAGATTTTTGTCGAGCAAATCGCTTCGTTGTTCTGAAAACCATAGTCAGGTCAAAGTTAAAACAAGAGCAAAATGGCTCAAGCTTCTGTATTGTACAGCGTATGATTTTGAGCACAAAGCGTCCTTTTACCGGTTGAATAATTCTCGTGAAAAAGGACACGTTCTAAACTGCCAGTGTAAACAAACTTATGCGGAAGTGAAATAACGGAATAGAGTAGAAGCCCATTAAAGGAAGGCTGAGGAATTAGACCATTCAGCTGCTACTTTATAGCAATAATGAAGGATGGATAAACTAGATGGAGAGCATATAGTGCCGGCTAGTGCCTTTATCAGTTGCCAGTCTGACTTACTACTTCGGGATGTCAACAACCGTGAGGCACTTTAAAGAAACGGGTGATGGGATATGTCTACCTCCCCTGCTCCGTTCTTACCCAAAACAGCCTGAAGAAATAGTTTTTAAGTAACGTGTTCGTACTCAAAAAAGGAATAGTAAACTACCCTCCCTCTTGAGTAACTAAACAAAACGGGAATAAGAGGATGATTTTTAAGCAATTCGCGCATTAATCTGGTTGTTTCCATTCAATAAGAAGTCCCTTTGTCTTTTCAATAAAAGGGAATTTAATTGACATCGGAGAGAGAGAAACTTTCCAATGCTGTTCAGCTTTACGCATGAAAAACGAAGCAGGCTCAGTGAAACAATAGGAAAACAGGTAAAACACAGTAGCAAAACCATCACTGACCTGCGTTATTCCAGCAGCTTTTTGACGATACTGATACTCCAAAAGAGCACACTTACAGAATCGTCTAAAACTGTTTTCTTCCTGGGTAGATGTATTTTAATGCACTGGAAGTTTCAGGTGAAGACCACTTAATTTCTTTTTTGCTGAAAATATGAAAATCTACCATCGCAAGGGTATTCCTTGTTATAAAAGCTCTGTGAACAGAACATACGTACTCGCCCTCATGGTAGTCGGTTGACATGATGAGGAGGCTTGAGAAGCTGGCTTCAGTTGAAATGGCAGATAACTCGGAGATCTCACACCTATTTTTAAGACGTGCATAAGCTTCAAAACCGAAGTACTACTCCCAACAGACAAAATCCCGGCTGCCAAGACTACTTACAAGTAAGCATGTTTTCTGTGAACGACTCGAAGTATGGACTGTCACCCCGCACGTAGCGCCTTACATTCTCTCAGCAAAAACAGAACGTTTTATAAAGTCTGTGTTAAGGAAAATTTACCCTCAAATTCAATGAGCAAGTAAGTTCGGCCATGTTTTTAAAAGCGGCATGCCTTGCAGGCGTGGGAATGGAGAAAACTGAGCAAAACGTATAACTTCAATGGCATCCGAGTTACTTTTGGTCTATTATTATCAGTTTCACAGTAAAAACTAAATCTTTATAATTCCAGCTTACTTTTCCCACAACGAAGTTCCAAATCTGAAAAAATATCTGATCACAATGAACTTTATGCGACTGGTTAACTATCTGTATCCACACACATTCGGTGTTCATTCCACACCCACAACACAAGCTACATCTCTAATACTAAGCATCCCTTGCTGACCTGAACATGAGTGCTCACTGATGGACAATCAGACGGTCTGTCCTCCGGTTGGAACTGTACAACCTGAGGAAGCTTGTGAGAGACCACGCTCGGGAACACACATGAGTTATTTGTCACAGTGGGCGTTTCGGGAAGGATGAACTCCTAATCCCATTGACCGTGTTTCCGCAGCATGAAAGTGTCAGTGTTAGGTTACGTACACTCAAGCCTCTAAATGATACTTGGTATGCGAACGACTAGTCCGCCCTCTCTGCTGCATATTATACATAGAAAAAGGATAATTGTTTGGTGACTCACTTGGCCACTTGTTACGTGTCTCGGAGTCTGGTCAGACAATCCGTCCTCAAAAATACTGGGCAGGTTGCATCAAGAAACAATATGTGACTGCGAAAAATCATTTTGTCTAAAATGCGACTAGTTTAGTTTATGTCACTTATCCATCGTCGCTCCGAGCGACTAATTTTCTCCTTTTCCTCAGCTGACAGTCTGAAACTTGGAGAGCTGCCTCTGAAAGTTCTTCTCAAAGAAAGACGGTTTTTTCATAAAGGAAACTACTCACAAGGTTGCTGAAAACTCTTCGACAGCCCACGATCTCGGGAACTGTGCCTACCTGATGAGCCCCAAGAAGGGCAAAACCGGTTGTAGGCTGTCGAAGAGTTTTCAGCAGCCTTTTGGGTAGTTTCCTCTATGAATACATGCTGCGATATCTCGAATATCGTGCCAACTGCATCATGAGGCGGCCTGTGTGCACCACATTCAGTTTTGTAATTTCATAAACGAGAGATTCAGTTGAATCTCTCGGGAAAACCAAATTGATTTACAAATGAGTGTATTTCTCGAAAGACAGTTTTTGTTTCTTCTGTGTTCCGTGGTTTGGCATCATTGATTTGCATCACCCGCTTATCTGTTGCACACCCTACACGGTTCCGTACGCAGCTTCACGTAGCCACTTCTTCAGCATTCAAACATTCATTCCGCTCGATTTCCCATCACCTAACTACTTAATCTCTCTGAACCTGGTGATGAATCCACGCCCTCTGAATATGTCTAAATACTCGACCACTAAATATACCAAAAGATCTTATTCAACTTTGGACTTTACTGTCCCGTTCCTCCTCGTTTTAGACGATGGAAGATTTCATCCGTCACCTGCTGACCATCGACAAACCAAAAGCCAATCAGACACTGATTACGCGGACTTTCCATCCGCGGACGACAGGAGTCCATGGTTTCCGGATCAATTGACTGTCGGAGGTACGACTAGACAAGACCAGCATGCAGTTCCTGAATTCCCGGTCGGCTATAAAGGCTATCAGACCTCAGGTACGTCAAAAAACCACCTACGCAGGTGTATTTGTTACCATTACACAAATGGCTGACGTAAGTATTCCCATGGTGAATCTGGCAGGCAGTTTCCGTCAATCACTCACTAGATTGATAGCAGAAAAATTCACGGGTGAGATCTTTTCAACATATAGTTCAAAGCTGGTGGTTTACCCTAATCTAGATCAGTGTAACTTTTATTATTCTGAACCACGTGTCGTTTGCTTCACAATCTACTGGTGTTGTCTACTCACACAATCCATGTAGCAATTTCCTTAACAATTCGGCGCATGTGACCAAATTTCAAACAATCCGGCTGCTGATTTATAGTCCAGCCAGTAAAAATAAACAACGAAAGAAGAACGAGAAAAATATGAAGGACCACGAAGGACTCATGGCACCTTTCCGGGTAGACTTGAATAAACCGGGTATGCAAATTTCCCGAAGTTAACATTCCCGTCAACTGGGCATCGAATTGTCAGTAAAATGTGATATTTTCATCTACCCGGAAGGACCATAGCGATTTGGTGCCTCGGCACGGGATTTTTGGTTCTGTCGGCTGCTTACTCATGAGTAGCCGAACGAAAATGTCAATATGTCCCTCGCTGGTCGCTGGCGGCCTATCACCTCAGCGGTATACAGATTTTTAAGTGCCACCAAAGAGTAAATAGCTTGATCAGTGTTGCTATCTGTTCCATTACTTTTCGTGCTTCTCTTGTGAGTAAATCTCAGAAAGCAACCGACAGGTAGCTGAAAGCTGAAATGAGTTCTTGACGAGGTAAGGTAAGTTCTCAACTTATCTTACCTCGTTTTCTGGAGCTCATTGAAAAATTGTCTGGCTAGTATTCTGGTGCCTCGGCACGGGATTTTTGGTTCTGTCGGCTGCTTACTCATGAGTAGCCGAACGAAAATGTCAATATGTCCCTCGCTGGTCGCTGGCGGCCTATCACCTCAGCGGTATACAGATTTTTAAGTGCCACCAAAGAGTAAATAGCTTGATCAGTGTTGCTATCTGTTCCATTACTTTTCGTGCTCCTCTTGTGAGTAAACCTCACAAAGCAACTGACAGGTAGCTGAAAGTCGAAAAGAGGAAATAAGTTCTTGACGAGGTAAGCTCTCAACTTATCTTACCTCGTTTTCTGGAGCTCCATGAAAAATTGTCTGGCTAGTTTACTTAGTGAATGTATCTCGTGTGAAAACAGTGAATTCATACTTTTCCGTGAGAATCGGGTTGTCTCAATCACCCATTGCTTAGTGTGCTTGATAAGAACTTCTGTGTGTTTCTGTCTATCTAAAGTAACCTTTACAGTCATCTTTCATCAGACGTAGCCTTGCAAAAACGGTTAGTTTCTTATCATAACGGGAGGATCTTCCCCGTCCCGTTGCAACGCAACATAATGGTGTCCTAAATATGACTCATCAGATGGTTACGTCAGGAACAGTCACGGTAGCACTTCCAGGCCCTCACATCAGTGTCGTATTGTGCGAACGCCATCACATTCTTTAGTTGGATTCGCTTGGGGTTTTGTTCCATACATCGTTAGGTTTCTTCTCCATGGCGGCAGCTTCCTGATTCACTAAGAACCACGTACTTATCACAATTATTGCCACTTACGTCGCATTTTACTGCTTACAACTTTGTTTGTACTTGTGCCGCCATGGTGACATTAGGACTGGGCAAACGAAACGATACTCACCAGAGCCGGAACTTTAATTGGAGACTTCCCTTCATTCAGACTGGTGTCTCAACATCTGAGTTACGTAGACGTTATTACGAGTCACCCGATTACACCTGGATCTCATACTGGTTCACGACTCTGCTGTAGGAGGACCTAAAACTTGTTTAAGGTCATCATCTCATCGTTGGTCCATCATCCAACGCAATAAACTTGGAACGTCATCATTGTTCTACATGAATGTTGAACACAGTTTATCACAAGGGCTAAGAAATGTGATGCTTGTCACTTGAAATGCATGCCTCTACAATGCTGCTCTCTACTGAAACCTTTCACAAAACTTGGATAGATAAGTTCGGTCGCAATCCTAAACCCACATTCATCCCCGGAGAAATTAGTAACCAGCTGGTGCCAATTTGAATTTTAACGAAAAACTAGGAGAATAGGAAATTCTGTTGTGGAGTGACCGACTTGGTGGTGGAGCTAATTATTGGTAGCTTCGTTGTTGTTGTTTTTTTAAGTGTTTTTGTTGTTGCTGACGTCGTTGTTGTTATCGTTGTTGTTGTGGTTGCTGTTGTCTTTGTTGTTGTTGTTGCCGTTGTTGTTATCGTTGCTGTTGTTGTCGTTGTCGTCATTGTTGCTGTTGTCCTTGTTGCTCTTGTTGTTGTTCGCCTCGCACTTTGTGAAACCAGTTACACGAGGGACACCGGAACACAATCGATGCTGAGACAGTCGTTTCGATTCTAATAAAAAAGTAAAGTTGAGACCAAGTTCTTCATCAACGTGCTGAGGATATTTTACTGTAAAAACAGTAAAAACACCTCAAATCGTAGTGGTCCGGGCCGGACGTTTTCCGAAACCAGAGAACTTGAAAACTGCCCAAACGGTGGGAGATCGGCTAGTACGCTGATGCCAACGGCATATCCCGCTCACTGACCGTTAAGGGACCGATGGTACGAACAGATAACTGAATTGAAACCAGTTGGAGCGAGTCCTCTTTTAAGGATGTTTGTGATGGCTGAGATGACGGTACATTTCAGAAGGCAGTTCTGAACAATCTCTCGATCTGCTCGATTCACAACCTGGAGTGCAAAACCAGGAAACAAGAGTTTGCTCAGTGGGTATTCGGGATTCTAATATACCTGTTAAATGACAAACGGATTGGGCAAAAAGGAAATATGTATGGGTTGATTTATTTGAGGTCTATATGTGGGAAGATTTTCGCACCTCCACAAAGTTCCGCAACAGACATTTGCCTCTATCAATAGGCTCCAGTTTTGAATAGCTGAATAAAACTGGAATGTATGGTTGAACGCTCACATGTTTATCACCTCTCTTGATTTATCAATACGGTTCTTCTAGGTATAAGAAGTGAGTCTAGCATTTAAACACCGCTCACTCATTTCATACTGTCCATCTGCCACAACGCTTTCATTTTTCCAGTTGGTGTTGGTCTTTTAGTTATTTCTAAGAACGATGGTCATCGGTTCAGTCCCTCAGTGTCCTCAGCAATCTAAATCACCAACTGTATGTGCCTAACAAAAGCTGGATGGCATTTATATTTTTTTTGTTTTAAGCATGTCGTCGTCTGTTTATGTCCATGTTGCTTCTGTCGTGTTGTTGTTGTTGTTGTTATTTTGTGTTCCAGTTCGGTTCGGTGTCTTATATTTGTTCTTTCTCTCACACCCTCCCACTGTCTTCACCCACCCATTCACCACTCCATCTGGCTGTGCACCTGGTCTCACGCTCCTCTATGGTTCTGCGGATACGAATACCGTCAAACCCTGCCGTCTGTTTGCCTATCTTTCAATGTTGTATTATTCATGCTATTGTGAATATCATTTTGATGGGGTGCTTTAGCTCGAGAACTCTGGCGCCAGAGAGATGCTGAAATGCATCCGGAGGTTGAGGGTAAGGAAAGTTTTCAGAGGCGAACCACAAGGACTCATTCCACGCCTCCGTATTCAGACATCGAACAGGCTAAAGTCCACCCTCCGGACAGACCGAAATCAGGAGACGGATTAATTGAGGGGACCTACGTTAGGCATCGAGTAAAATATAGTAACCAGGACAATGTTAGGTCACGTTATCCTCGTGAACCCCACATTGACAAACTCAAAACGACGGATTTCGACGCCAGTCAGCAGGGCATTGGCTCTAATTGGACTTCTCTATCAGCATTCAGTGTGGTAGAAAGGTTGGAGGCTGGATCCGTTACTTATGGACAAACATCGAAGAGTACCCCGAGTGCTGTTGTCAAGCTCGCTGATCGTAAGACGTTCGACCAGCTACAGTCAAAAACAGTTGAACCTCGCCGAGAACTTTCTCCAGCACATTCTAGAAAGCATGGCATTGTTAGACAGCCTAATGTTGATGAGAATGAAGCTTCAAACTCTGCAGATAAATTTTTCGCACCTGTGCCTTATCGGAGCCGGGTTCCTGAGGCAAGAAAACAAGGCGCTGATTCACTCAGGAACGCGGAGATGGACAGAAAAGTGCACACCAGTTATCCGGAACGAACAAGCTCGCGTCCGGTAAAACGATCTACTAGTGAAAAGGCTTCACCTGCAGTCGATTCTGCCCAACTTAAAAGAGATCGGATCAGAAGACGGAAGTCTGACTTAGACAAGCACATAGATGAACAATTCGACGAAGCCTACAGGGAAGAACTCATTCGTAAAGAAAGTTTAAGCGCAGCAGGCTCAGGCAGTCGAGAACAAGCAAGCATGTCGGACTTAAGCGAACTGGCGTCTCAAGAGGCAGAAAGAAATTCGAAGCTTGCAAGGGGCAGTTTGAGGTCACGATCGTATACATCTGAAAGCGGAGCTAGGGATGTCTCAAAACATGAAAAACGTGAGACCAAGGGTGCGGAGCCTGTTTCACCAGGTGAATATCAACCGCAGTTTATAACAGGCAGAAAACGCTGGCCACCACCACCAGTGAGCAAGGGATCTACAGCAAAGTCAACCGGCCAGACAGTGCATCCTGAAACCAAGCTTGTAAATCGTGATGATGCATTAAGGTTCTATGCCGCTGAACCATACAAAACTGACCGTGAACAGAGTGGTATAGAAAATGAAATCCCACGTGAAACACACACGGTGCCACCTGAAAAAGCAGAACATGCTGACCAAGGCAGAAATAAACGACGAAAGGCAAATAAAAATGAATCCGGCTCAGACTACAGAGAACTTGATAACGCTGGATACCGACAGGGTTTAGAACCGTCTCAGGATGACCGGGATAAATTTCGTACGAGTGCTGAGCACCCGAGTACTGAGGATGGAGAGGTACGTCTTAATTTGTCTCCTGTGCGACGCGATCACCCACAAAAAGGTCTGATGGTTGATGAGGATAAAAGAACTACACCTCACAAAGAAGGTCACAAACAAGGACAGCCAAAAAAGGATGAACCATTTTCTCCCTCCGGTGTTGTTTCACGTGGTGACCACATACACGCTGGTGTCCCGCAGGAAAAGACCCGAGGTGATCAAAGACCTCTCACACACGGGGGCAAAGTGCGTGATGACCGGGATATAGAACCGGGTCGTCACGAACAGCCACGGGGTGAGGACAGGGTGGAACGTCCCAAGTCACACACACATTACGGTCATTCGCGTGAGTGGAGAGATTTTGATCGATATAGAACCTCAGAGATTCATGATAAACACAATCAAAAAGGTCGTCCAGGAGGGGCCGAAACTGATTTTTTATTTTCTGATAATCATACAAGTTCGCATGGGGATAAGACCAGACGTAAATCACATGACGAACTGCAATCAAGGCAAGAAAAGTTTAGTACTGATGAGCAGAAACTTCTCAAAGCAGATTTCGCGGTGAAACGTGATGATCGGGAAAAAGTCTCTAAGATTCCAAAACATCGTGGAACTGAGGATGCAGCAGAACGTGTTAAGTCTCCGTCTACACAACACAGTCTGCTACATGAGCAACGAATGGCTGGTCGGTCTGGAATATCTGAAGATGAACGTAAACAAAGGAAAGAAACGGAACAAAAGATTGGTGTTCCTCCCACGAACGCTGTACGTGAAAAGCACGGGCGGTTAGATTCTTCTAAAGAGAAACGCATAGAGGGTACAACCTTACCAGCAGAGAAGCTCAAATTGCAGAGTAATTTGCCCCATGGTCATAGTGAGGATCGAAGTGGTGTGAAGCAACGTCTCTCGCCGGGTTTCGAAAGACCACGCGGCGATCATGCTGGAGTTCACAGGATTCATGCCTATCAAGGATCTGAGGACGCAGCAGACTATGAAAGCGTTCCGGCCAGGAGAAGCAGTCGTCCACATGACCAGCAAATAGCCGATTGGGATAGAACGTCCAAAACTTATGAAGACGATGAACGAAAAAAAGGAAGTCAGAGAAGGAAGGAACTTGGCTTTCCAACTAATGCGTCTTCACGCGAGAAACTCAGTCGCCCAAAGTCGGTTGAAATGAGGGCCAAATACGATCAACAGGTACCTACTGACGGACGAAAGCCATATGATAAGTCTGAATTTAGCCGTGGACAGGTTTATACCAAAGGGGAGAAGAGCTACGTACCAGCTATCGGCTTGCTACACGATGAGAAGGATAGAGTTCATGACGGTTATGGCCAACTAGATACTGAGGCTGTGAAAGGGCGTAGGAAATCACATCCTACTCTAGCTGACCGTCCTTACGTGCGAAAAGTGGACGGAGATCACGACACTAACGATCTCAGGAGGCACGAGGAAGATGAACTGGCTCTCCCTGCGGCTGAGGCCGCACGCAATAAACGTGAAAGAATATACTCACCCCATAAGACAGCTTTGGAACAACCAATGAAAGATAATCAAAAACTGGGTCACTCTAATTATGCTTTAAAAACTGAAGTCTTATCTCCCGTGGAACCATCGAGCCGGGATCGCAGTCGTTCGCTCTTATCTCCACGTCCCCCCTTGATGTCTCGACCCAACAGAACAGACATCGTGAGACCTTTAAGTTTACCCACGGCTGGCTCAGAATCATTTATATCCTCTCCAGTTCAATTGCATTCAAGACAAATTATGGGTGACAAACCCTCAGAAGACCGCCTGGTATGCATGCTTGAACAAACAGAATCTGAAGTAAAAGACAGTCTTAGGGGTGAACAGGCAGGAGATAAATCAATGGGCGGAGAAGGTAATGAAGTTGTCCTTTCCGCCAGATCAACTGTAGCCCCCACATACTATGTAGAGGAAGGAGCGGAACCAAACAGAGAAGGTGTAAGGAAATCCAGGTATTTGGGGAAGGAATCGGATGATCTGAATTCCGAGCACGCACCAGATGAAGCTCAAAAGTTGGGAGAAAAATCACCTCCTCTGCTGCCCCTAACAGGTTCGGATTTATTCCGAAGGCGCATCGGAATGGAACTTGGCCAGAAGCACCAAGAAGCAACTGAAGGCCGCTCCAAACACACAAGCTACGACCCCATGGCCTCCGAAACAGGTGATACAAACGAGTCCTTTCCTCCGACCGGCCGATCGACAACAGATCCATCCAAACGGAAAGCACAGGAGTTGCATGACAATAAACCACTGAAATCAAGTGATCTACACCAAAAACGATCGTCGAAACAAGGTAATTCTGTACTAGGTTACATATTTATATCTGGTAGCTTATCCCTCTTACCCTCGCTGGTCATCTCATTTCCGCGCCGGAGGGCACGCCACGCACGTCGAAGACGAAATTTATGTCCAATCATACTACTTCCGAGGGTGACAGTAGCAAAATATTACAGCAAGTACATCTTGCTTCAGGAATGTTCTACAGGCCGACCTGCCTGTTGTCGTCAGCTGAGTCTTAGTTTCGTGTGAATTGCGCAAAGTAATATCACTTCATCGTCTGACCACTACACTCTGTTGTCAGGCCATGATGTTGACTGGATGCTGGATCGTGCTAACAGATTTGCAGTAAGTTGAATATTTACGTCGCTATTCATGCCTTCCACCTCAGGCTTTTATAGTTGCAGAGTGGTCAACGTAGGAAGCTCCCTTTAGAAAGTTAAGTGAGACAGGTAAAGCCAATATGTTGGCAGAATATCATGAATCGGGTCATTCAACTTGCTGCACAAAAAGTTTCAAAGCTGCATTTACAGGTAGCAATCTTGATAGAAGTGGGGACGTACAAATGCATTGATCTATTAGGTCTCGAAAGTATGAATTCATACTTGAGTGGAAGAATTTCACAACAGTACAACCTGCCTTTCCCAGATCGGTTTCGAAATTCAGCCCTTGAAACAGGTTTGAAAGCTACTGTATTGCCTCTATCTGAGCTAGCCTTAACTGTTCTGCGCCACTTTGAAGTTTCCATGTTAACCGCATTGCTTAGGTTCATCCTAATCCCAGCACTACCTTCCGAAATGTGCTTCGGTATGTTGTGAATTAAACTCTTCGCGACTTCTGTTAGGGCGAAGAAGAGAATCAGAACAGCGGATAGGACGCCCGCCTGCCCGACGGCGAATTCTCGTGTGATATTTAATTTCTTCAAAATCGCCTGAGTGGGTCGTGACTCATGCACTTTCAAACTACGCCGTTGTCTTCGTTGATCAATTGGACGAAAAGTGTAGCGAAGATGCTATATAACTCCACTATAAATGCAGTCATATGTTTTTGTTGTCTGGAGGAGAATTTCAGTACATGCTTGACATTGTCGTCACAATAATTTGGCCAGGTGCACGCCAAAAGTGCAGAAAAGAGTTACCCGCTTCAGCACGCAAGTTGATGGCTAAACGGCACCGATAAAAAGTGTAATGCGACTGGTGAAACTGACCAGCGCATCAGAGAAACTATGCTGACTAGAATGCCTCCACTGCAGGGCACTTGATTTGGGTCGCGATTCGGGATACTTTAGTTCTACCCTAGAAGAAAACCACTAGTGAACTAGCTTGGAGACCACTCCAGTATAAGGACTATGTACGGTCATTTCAGCTTCTCCGTGCTTGGTGCATAGAATTCGCTTGCCAGTCCTGGCAGAACGTCTATGTTGCTTAAGGATTCATGAATTTCTATTGTCTCCCACCAAGCATTGTCTGTGAAGTTTTGATTGACGTAGGATGTTTGACAAGACAATTCGTTATGAGGAACTCTGCGCCCTCTCGCTCTCCCAAGACAGGGAAGCACTTTCTAAAAACCAACAATTTGTAGGGTAGTTGGCGGAACAAACCTGGATAAAACTAATTAGGGTGTAAGGTGAGTTCTACTACTGAAAAGCCGGCTTCTGTTAACTGCCACCAATCAGCTACCATCGCCAAACAGAAAAACCCAGTTGCTGAAACATGATAAAATGGTAACAGATTTTCCTGACCCTGTGCAATCTCGCTCGATTTTATTCGGGGCAAACAAATGGTGGCCCTAATGGAAACTGGAGTGGTCTGTCCGCACAGAAGATTATTTTACTCAAACGAAATTAGATGCACCGGATTTACCCCAACCATCATCCTTTACACATTCTAAGCCAGATTTTGCTAGCCATTCATGTTTTTTTTTCAATGGTGACCAGTTGCATGCACTTTGTCCACTTTTTATTTCACTTTGTCATTCACATCTGGTGTTGAACTCGCGTGTCCTAGTTAGATCAAACAACGTAATGTAACCCTATCCTGGTGTACAGTACATTTCATCCAGTAACCGAGTGACCTAACCAAAAATTCAATTACTTATTCAGGAGCCTGAGACTAGCCAAACTTTATCATAGGGCTCACATAAGTAGATGTTGTACTATAAGACATGATTCTCAAACAGTTCTCTATAGATCTGGTCATTCTGAGGCTTTACTACCCCCAGACTGTCCAACAAGTTGTAATTATGCACCATTCACCTCAGAATTGCGTATATTGAGTACATTCTACGCTATCCAGCCAAAGTTGTCACTACTTGCGGTAAATGCCTCAAATTCTTGTTGAAATGACTACTCAAATGCTTGCTAATGCAGCCTCGAAATATTTTGCATGTGTGTACAGGTAAGGAACAGACTGATTGTGGGATCGTAGTCAAGCACAAAAGATGAGTCGATACGTCAAATGAATATCTGATAACTAAGACCTGAGGCTGTCTTCTGTCTCATCGTCGTAAGAAACAGTGAGGATTTCCTGTTTTTGTGCCATCTAGTGAGGATGGAACGGGCAAGTCGTACCTGCCCCAGCTCACAGCACCAGGGCTGTTTCTTTGAGTTGGATGTAAGGTTTCCCACTGGAAGTCCGTTTCACAATCGACACTCCGATGACTAGTGCAACTGGCGTGCGTCCGAACATCTTCAGGGTACCAACTGTCACGGAAGCCACAGAGGAGAATGTCGGTAGCTCCGGCAGCATAGATGATCACTGTTTTGTTCGCTGGGCAGTTTGATTGCAAGCGTTTCATCATCGATCGAGGTGACATCACCAGTGAGTTGTTAGGGGGTGTAGCGATGGTGTTGCCTCTCAAAATAATAGCCGTTATTCACACCAAAGAAAGGTGCTTTCAGTGTACAATGAAAACCATAAGGTTAAAGTTAGATCCATGACTTGTGTAAGGAAAGGTTTGAGTAATAGGAATAATCCCTTTGCGACAGTGCGGAGTAGCGTCATATCTTCTAATTGCAAAAGCATAACAGGATGAAATAAACTGTATTCGAAAGCCAGTCACAAGCTCTGAAGAAGATAATGGGATTCTGTTGCTTTCTTAAAACCAAGTTGTATACAATCAGAATCAGGATCAAGACCAAGACTAGTTTGTTCCAGTTCCAGTCAAGTGAACAAATTCGTGTTCGCTGTAGAGNACAAACAGTGGGAGGTACTCGATTACATAATAATAATAATAATAATAATAATAATAATAATAATAAGTTAAAAAAAACACCCTGTTTGTATGTCTGAGGATCATTTCTACCGACCCGTCGATATGCAAAATTTCATAACACCAGTGCTGTTACCCGCTAAATAATCACTGTTTTTAGTGAATTTTGGACAGCCAGGCTTTGTTTTAGGAAATGTAGGTAGGAGCTTCAATTTGGCCGTGAAGAGTTACTATTTTCTCCACCATAAACTGGACAATTCGCTATGGCTAGCAATCTGCACGGTCAAATTTCATCCTATGACAGCTGTTTCTTCAACTGCCGCGCCTAAATGTGGGTTCGTTGACTTTTAGTCGTAAGGCGAAAAATCTATTCAAAAGGCCCATCCTCAAACATCGTGGATATAAAAATGAAGAAGTTTTAGGCTGACAAGTTGCGTGCCAATTACCTGTCTATTGTCTTGTAATGTTCTTTTAATAGTCTTTTAGTAGTCTTTCAAGGTAACAAACTCCCTCACGGCTGATAAAACAGTTCACCGCATTAATGGACTATTTCGAAGGTGACCTGGCTGGAAATAGCCAATGAGTTAGCCTTTAAAATGCATTCAACGCCATTCTGTGAAACACGTCCCATTAAAAATACCAAAATACAGATGAGGGACAGTTTGAAACAATGAATAACAACTCAGTATCTTCTTAATTCCCTGTAATCATCGGTTTTTCTCGTCAGTACACAAGAATATACCTTAATGCTAACCAAGACTGTTTGGCAGCTCCTATCCGAATTGCGCCAGGTCGAAAATGTCAAGTCCTAATTATTCGATGAATAGAGGGAAGGCTGGTGAGCACAACACATGTTGCTCTGAAGTTTGGGAATCACGGATATCCCAGGGCACTAAGTATCTAGAATATTCACTTCTCACAGAATGAAAAATTCTACCCCACTCTCATGAAAGCTAGCGAAGAACACCAGGATGGGACTGAAATTTTTTAACCCCAATCCAGATGGCGATTGTTGAGGAGGAAACACTTTTTTCAAAGTCCTCGAAGATGCATTCTTGAGTGCACAGAACCAGACAGGCAAATTAGCATTAGTGTGTGGCACTCTGCCTTGGAGGACGTATCTGGGAGAGTAGTAAAATGGGACAAAACTGAGCTGTATTGGTGCATTCTGATTGCACCCAATCCGTCGAGGTTTTCAGGCGATGAGCATGCGAAGTGAAAATTCTTCGTAAAGGTTTCTTCCTTATGCTTTGAGTAGTTAGGCTATGTCACTTTCAATAAATTACCCTTTTTAGGAGGTAACTGCGTCCATCCATTGGGAGTTTATCAGTTTTTGACCTTTTAATGAAAATGCTTTCTCTGCACTGTTAGAAAACTGATTTCGGCTTATCATCTCAGATCTCTAGGGCAGCTCGAAAGTGAGGATGTGAGCACCGGTTCGGCCATAAGGGTCTGATCAGCAGTCCGAAGAGCTTGCACAGTACTACGTGGTCTTTATTCACAGCTCACCAACACTTAATCAATTGACAGGATAAGTGGCATTGCATTTCGTTGTATTAGTATCTTGTTTAACTTCGAGTCGGGTTCGGGTTATTCAAGGTATCCAAGATGTGCTTATGGTTCTCAACAGGAAAAATACGGGTGTACCAAGGATTGGTTTCATTTTGAGGATGAAATTCCAATAGAATTTCCAAAATCAGCTCAGTGCCTATAGAAAACTGACACTAACTTTTTGTACAGGCGCTAGTGGCAAAATGTGGCTCGAATTTCACAGCAATTTGCCTTTGCTATGCGCATCTGCTGTTT